CTGCTGCACTGCTATCAAGGTGTTTGTACAAGTCATACAACACCTCTCTCAGTTTCTTCATTGTTTTCTTATTGGGTTGAAGGAGCATTGCCTGGAAGTTAACTGGTAAACCATACCTGAGAGATCAAGCAGAAAAAAAAAAATGCCATAGGGCACAATTAGACTTTAAACTGGCATAACAGTCTATTCAATCTTAATACGGAAAGTGCATTCCAACAGCCCTCTTGCTGGAGAGGCTCATTGCTAGGAGCTTCTAGTTCCTTACCATACAGAACCCATTCACTTTTAATTTTAAGAAGATGAAATTGCTTCTACTTTTTTCGTCCTTCCAAGCACATTTGTCACCTAAGTCACCTCTCGCTGGTCATGCCAGCTAGTCTTCTAATTCAATGGCTACACTTACTGGTCTGGCAGCAAGAAGCTGCACACGTAAACACATTATAGCAGTTTTGCTCAGAGTTCAGAGGACACTCTGGGAAGACATTACAATGGACCATGGCAGCTGACTGAAAACTGGATAGGTGTCTTCATATGCTTTCAGCAAAATGCCCTGCAACAGCAGAAACCTTCCTCCTTTCTGCAGAGATGGAATAACATTGCTAGCAGAGAGGAGGGTTCCACCATCCCAGAGAGACTTTCAGTATGCAGGCACTGGAGTTGTGTCAGTCAAGCCTACGGTGTAGACTAGGCCTAAAATAAAAAGTCTGCAGCAGCTGTGACAAAGTTCACATTATTTTCTGATTCTGGACTCATTTTGCAGTAAAAACAGTACTAACACACCTAAAAAAAATGTTTCTAGAATAAAGTGGTCAGTCAGAAGATTCCCTCTGCAAATCAAAATGTTTCTATAGTATATTACAAAGCATTCCAGTTTCTTTGCAGAATTAAAAAAAAAAAAAAATCAATCTATAACTAGCTATTTCTTGCTTCCTTCTGATTAAAAGGAAAGCATGATACAAGGAGAAATTGCAGCCACTTGGAAGGGGAAGTTAAAAAAAAAAAAAAAAAAAAAAAGGCCCCCCTGGGGGGGGGGAAAAAAAAAAAAAAAAAAAAAAAGGCCCCCCTGGGGGGGGGGAAAAAAAAAAAAAAAAAAAAAAAGGCCCCCCTGGGGGGGGGGAAAAAAAAAAAAAAAAAAAAAAAGGCCCCCCTGGGGGGGGGGAAAAAAAAAAAAAAAAAAAAAAAGGCCCCCCTGGGGGGGGGGAAAAAAAAAAAAAAAAAAAAAAAGGCCCCCCTGGGGGGGGGGAAAAAAAAAAAAAAAAAAAAAAAGAGAAATGCTGTAAAGTAGGGGTGTACCGATATATTGGCTGACTATTTGATCAACACTGATAAAAGGAGAAATAATGTTATTGGCTACTGGCTTTTCTTGGTTGTTCTAGCCGATAATCACAGCCACGTGCCCAGAGTACCCTGGCAAGCATAGTCCCATCCCCATGCCCATCCGCCAGCCTAAGCCCACACCAGACTACAGGTTCTGGCAAGAAGCAGAAGATGGAGGGGGTGCTGGGGAGTGGTCACAGGGCGCTGCGCTCAGTAACAAAGGGTTATTAGGCTGCTGCTGCTGTCCCTGCCATGGCAACATCACATGCGCAGCAGGGTAAGAGGTTGCTGCAGAGACACTGGGCTGTGCACAGGCAGGGTAGGTAAAGTACTGTGCAAGGACATTCTGCTCAGCTGAGCAGCGGGTGCCTTTGCAAAAGGGGCTTGTGTCCCTGGCAGCCATGGGAGCTTGGCTGCACAGCACCTCCCAGCGCTGAGGCAGTGGTGTGCCCTGGGGTTCCAAACGTGCCTGGCGTTGCTCCCTGAATGAGGGTCCAATCTGCCTGCCCAGGACAGTAGCATAGGCTGCATGGGGAGCAGGATTACAGGTAGGAGCCATAGGTGAGGGGATAATGTGCATGGGAATAAGATGGTCACTGCCTTCCTCATTGAGGGCAGGAGCAGGCAGGAGGCAGGCATGTGTGTCTGTGAGATAAATGCAAAACAAACAAAAAAGGTTTATGTCAGTGGTTTAAAATGCCTTGCCTTATTACTAGACATCACTTATTGGATCAGCATCAGCTGATACGGTTGGTTAATCACTGGCTATTGCTATCGGCCAAGAAAATCTTTATTGCTGCACCCCATCACCAATAAAGAAAAGAAGTTCTAGTGGAGCAGGTCCAAGGAGTCTTGGATTGCACCTCCCAAAATTGAAACAGTTTTACTACCAAATAAGCCAAGTTCAACGCATCAAACATTACTTTCCTTTTATCTTAAAAATAAAATATAATTTTTACTCTTTGCATGGAAGCAGGAATGTCAAATTCATCTGGCCCTGTGCGCTGAATGAGTTGTTGGGCCAGACCAGGGCTGAACCCCCTATGCAACGTCTGTGGCACCAGGTCCAAACTGTGCATTGCATGGAGCCCGCATCAGCCCCAGGGCTTACTGTGCACACAGCACATGGGGCATGTGTAGTCTATGGTGCATGGGCTGGACCCAGTGCTGCAGGGAACGCAGGGGGCAGTCCAGGAGCGCCACATGTAGTCTGTACCCAGATCCCATACTATGTGGTGCTGCTGCATCCAGCTGCAGGCAGTGCATGCACTGCATGCTATACACACACCACTGTGTGCATCACTAGCCCCTGGGCCAATGCATGCTGCACACAGCATGCAGGGCTAAACTAGCTGCATGTGCTGCTCACAGAACAGAAGGCCAAACACAGAGCATGTGCTGCATGTCACACCCCACCAGACTGGCCCTTCACATTGGTTTCAACACGGCCCAATCTGAACTGGCCCCAGGGCCAATGCACAAGGCCAGTTCAATGGGGCACTGCATACCTCAGGCTGACTCATGTTACATGTTGGGTGCTTGATGCTGGGTCCAGCCCACATACTACATGCAGCATGTGGGGCTATGTGCTGGATTCTGTCTGTAGACCACAAGTTTGATACCCCTGCATATAAGAATCTTTTGCAAGCCAGCAAGAGTCAGCTAGGTACCCTAGATATAGTAGGACGTGGGGAGTGGGGTCCTGCAGGGCTCGGTCCTTGGACTGATACTCTTCAACGTCTTCATAAGCGACTTGGACAAGGGAGTGAAGTGTACTCTGTCCAAGTCTGTGGATGATACAAAACTGTGGGGAAAAGTGGACACACCGGAGGGCAGGGAACAACTACAGGCAGACCTGGACAGGTTGGACAAATGGGCAGAAAACAATAGAATGCAATTTAACAAGGAGAAATGCAAGGTGCTGCATCTAGTGAGGAAAAAATGTCCAGCACACCTACTGCCTAGGAAATGACCTGCTCGGTAGCACAGAAGCAGAAAGGGATCTCGGAGTCCTAGTGGACTCCAAGATGAACATGAGTCGTCAGCATGACGAAGTCATCAGAAAGCTAACTGCACTTTATCATGCATCAGCAGGTGCACGACAAA